AGGCGCCCTGCCCGGCGGAGGGGTCTGGCCGCGGCAGCCGCCCACCCTGTGGTGGAGTCGGGCCCCTCCCTCTGACGCGGGGTGGCGATGCTCCCGTGATCCCTGTCCTGAGTGCTCGCCCTTCACTTCGGAGCGGAGACCGGGCCCTGCCGCGTCACCCTGGGCAAGTGACTTCGGCCTCGGTTTCCCGGGCTACGAGTAAGTTTGAGTCCCTCCCCGCCCCTTTTTGCATTCCGCAATCGTAGATGTCTTAGGCAGCGCAGAAGAAAAAGGTGTGACCTGCTTTACAGTTGGTCACCGGCGCTCCCTACCGCCACCCTTAGCCCAGTTTAGGTCGGGCCTGATGTTCCCACTCAGGATTTCAGCTCCACCCGGACTTGTTTATTCTACCGCTTGGATTCTTTGCTCCAGGTGCAAGCCGTTGAGTGACTGTGGTTGGAGCTGAGTCGAATAAGATGATCTATTATAACGTATCTCCACTATTCCAAAAACCGCTTAAAGCAAAGGACTTTATACAGTGGGTCTGTGTAGCTTATGTAGAACACGTGATTAAGGAATATCCAGATGGCTCATTCTACCAAGTATTTTCAGGGGGCCTTGAAACTCGACCCTCTAGTAGACATGACAGCTGTGGAGTAGAAAGGGCCTTGCAAAAGGTAGACAATAATCCTCAGGCACCTGGCACTGACAAGCTGCATTGTCTTTAAAGTCAGGTAGTGCACCTGGAACTCTTTAAAATTTTGACTTCATTTATTGACATAATTGTGTGTTTTCTTAGATAGAAGAGAGACAGTTAAAATGTACTCTTTCACTTCCTTTTCTTTCACTTAGGATCATCATTAGAGCTGGAAAGGTGCCTAGAGATGTTCCCGCCTGGTGCAAGCATTTTAGTGATGAGAATCTAGAGTGAGGAAGTGTTACTTGACCAAGGTCTCAGAGCTAGTGAGTGGTAGAATTAAGACAGGAACTCAGGTCCATAGCTCCTCACTTAGTCTCCTTTCTAGTATACTTCAAACACGGTCATTGCCCATGCTACCATGATGTGGCAAAGCAGAGTCAACCCTTTCAAGGGCAACGCCAGTAGTCACAGGAAAGTGGAGGTTTAGTCTATAGCTTTGGGCTTTTCACAGATTCTTCTACTTGCCTACATCTCATGTTCTAGGATTTTTTTTCTGTTCCTCCCCTGATATTGCTGGCACTGCAGTGGTGTAGGATGAGGGCCTGCTTAGAACAAGCTAGACAGGCAATTCAAACAGTTGCTGATGAGTAGGATTTAAATGCCCCTCTGGAGGAGGACCAGCCAATGGTGTAATGGTTATGTCGCTGGACTCCCATGTAGTCAACCAAGGGTTTGAGTCCTGGTTCCAGTGGCTTAAACCTCATGCCAGGTGCGTGTGCACCTGAGGTTTTGAGAGGAGTAATGGAAGAGAAGAAATTGTGACATGGCCAAAGAAAAAGCCTCCTGGGGATATAACAATTTTGTACGGCTGTCTGAAACAGTTTAGGTAAGGAACTACAAAGAACTTGGAAAATTTGGTCTAAAACAAGTAGCTCAATATTGGAGGACCAATGTTTGTGTCTTTGGTTTTGCCACCTGCCTCAGGGCCATCTACACACCCATAGTGTCTGGTGCCTCAGTCGGTAAGCATTTCTATAGGGCCAGGGAGGAATGGGATTGAAGTCAATTCATCCCTTGTGCTAATAGCTTTGAAATGAAAGTAAGCAGAAGAGTAAAGGAATTAAATGTGGCTTTGACTTTTACTTATCTTTGTTTTAACAGTTTCCAAATGAATTGATTTGGTTGACTTGCTTGCATTCCTCTCTTGGCTGAGGAAGTATTTGATTTCCTTTTGTAAACTTATTCAGAGGTGCTACCTTTAGGCTTCATCGAAACATGTGCTTACTGATGTAAGTTGTAATAGATGGTCCATCTTATTTGACTCAGCTCCAAAGGCTAAGGTTGGGCATTTAAATTTCTTCTTTTGTAGTTTGCAGATCCACTCAGAAGGAGCATAAGAACTCGCTTTTGTTCCTTTTCTTCAGAGAGACGTAAGAGGATCTATGTCCTCATGGAACAGTCCCGGGAGTAGTATATTAGGCTTGAAAAGCTCATTAGATGAAAATATGTCAGTTTCCTTAGAAGCCAGGAACCAGTTCAGGGGATTCATTTTAAAATACATTTCCTGTTATTGCCTACTCCTCTGAGGACCCTAATCCTTTTGGAAACTGAGCTGGGGGGAAAAAAGTTAACAACTATGTCAGGGGCCAAGTAAAGTACCTGTGTCAGTTTGTGGAATCTCTGTGCATTGTTTTTCCATACTTAGTCTTGTTTTATTAAACATTGTTACTTGGAGCCGGCACTAACATGATGTTAAGGTGACTGATCCCACACGGCTGACTGCTATTCAAGTCCCAGACCCCGGAGCTTGGGAAAAAGCTGGGCACACATGGGCGCATGCCCAGAATCCCAAGAGGAGAAGTGGAGGAGAGGGAACTGCAGCATGGCCATCCCTTTGGGTAGTGGTGGTAGGGGGGTGCTTCCTCACTTTCTCCCCCTCCCCCCCAGGTGAATGCAGCAAATTTTTAAAAACAAAACCAAAAAACCTGGCAGGTGCTTTCCCTCCAGGAAAAGTTAGATGGCATACTTCTTACCCAGTTCAGGTCGATGTGGTTATGCTCTAGGTTCACCTGTGACCCTTTCTGTTCTCAGCCTGATCAAAAGAAGAGCAGGGGAGTCATCAGCTCACCTGCCTCCTCAACTCCTTCCTCAGTCTTGGCAGCAGAGAATTTTAGCCTTCATGTCAAAAATGATTTGAGTTTTAAATACTCAGAGTGCCACTGGGTGCTCTGTCTTTCTGAGAAAGTGATGAGATCTCTGAAATGAGAGATTTTAGAGAGTCTTTTGCATTTTCGATAAGTGAAGAACCAAAGCTGTTTACTTTTCCAGACAGATAATTAGGTTTTCAGATGAATGACAGATAAAATTTCCTTTGATGAAACACTGAAGCCTCAGAATATGAGCTCTTTCATGTCATTTTGTATATATGTGCTGTTCTTTCTTCAGTGTTCTGTGCATGAGCTAACTTAGATTGGTTGTTTTCCTAGTAAGGAAAAAAGAGACTATATCAAGCCACGCATGGCTGGTCTAGCCTTTCAGAGTAGCATCCATTTTCAAAACAGCTTGCCAGAGTTTGAGTGTGTGGAAGGGTGGGTAATGGAGTGTGAACTTGAGGGGTTCTTAAGGAAATCAAATCTGTGGCTTTTGTTTTCTTGGTACCAGGCCACTTGAACCAGCCATGCCAGCTGAACCAGCCATACCAAGAATTGACATAGCACTTGGAGATTATCATCTCCTCACCCTGTTTTAGAAAAGAGAAAGCTGAGAAACAGCAGGTTCTCCAAAGGTAGCTAACAAATTAAGAGCAGAGTTTAAAAAAGAACTCTGAAGCCTATCATCACCCTTAACTTTGTTTACCTATAAAGCCCCTTCCTTTTTTTAAAATAATTATTTAATTTTATTCATCATGAGGCTGGCGGGTGGCGTGGTGGTTAAGGGCGCTGGACTCCCACATGGCCGACCACGGTTCAAGTCCCGGACCTGGTGGCTTGCTTTCTCACTTTCTCTCTCTCTCTCTCTCTGTCCCTCTCTGGTCAAATTTAAATAAATAAATAAAGTTAAATAAAATAATTCTTTAAAAAAATTTTATTCATTATCATCATTATTTTTCCAATTTGACCACAGAGCAACAGAGAGAGAAAGAGCGAGACAGTGAGAGAGAAAGCAAGATGCCAACTCCAGGACTTGAACTGTGGTCAGCTATGTGGGAATCCAGCACCTTAACCACTATGCCATCTGCTGGCCCCATACCCACTCTTTTTTTTATTTTTGATGGATGATGTGCATATCTTGTTCATTCACTTTTCAATAAATACTTAATCAGCAGTTATTATACATTAGGCATTGTGTCATATATACAGTGGTGATGGCGTTATAAAGGAAAAGATCTGAGCATAAGGTTCTTAGGTTTACTGAGGGCAGGCTCTGAAGTCACTCTTACCTGAATGTTCATCATGATCCTTGTCAAAAGACAAATTGAATCAGTTTACATACCCGGATAATTTGGTGCTCCAGGCTTGCACAGAAAGGGGACATGCTGGCCTCAGAATGACTGGAGACTACTAGCAAAAAAAGGATGTACACACTGAGAAATCTCCCTGCCCACCCACCCATGACATCCAAGAGAAACCCTAATCAAACAAGCAAAAGTTTATGGGCAGAAATCTTGACCTAGCCTGGAATGTGATCCCTGCCCCCACCTCCTGCTTTGAAAATTTACTCTGAGGTTTGAGGTTGAGGATGTGGCAAAACTGTGTCACAAACCAGAAAGCCAATACATTTTTTTAGTTCTTTATTTAGCTTAATCCCAAGGGCAGACAGTTCAGTGCCCAAAGTCCCATTGCCTTCTCTGAAAAAAAATGACTTCTGAGGAGTGGGGAGAGGAGGCATGGGTCATGTACATGTCAAAGTAAAACCAGAAAATAGGTAGGGTGAGGCAGAGTTAGAAGAGCTATGGTGTGGGTTTTTTTCTTTTTAGAGGGGGTGCATAATGATGGTTATTACTTTTATGTTCATCTTTATGTTTCTAATCTTCCAACAAGTTCCAGCACTGAATCTGTAAGGTATCCTGAGTATTTTCATATGTATAACTCTCTTCACCTGCCTTATACGGCAGCAGAATTTTTTTTCATTTCCTAGTAAAACTCAGGGTTTAGAATAATGCACTCATTCAAAGTTAGACCAGGTAAGCATTTAGAAGACAATGCTTGTAGCTTGTTTGAGAGGCAGAAAGTATGATGTGTCAGTAATTCAAAACACCTTTTATACATTGCTTTTGCCTCCAAATAGTTTCCCAGCTTTGATTATAGTTTTTAAAAATTTTACTTACTTCTTCTTAGAGAGAGGGGGAATTCCCCAAGTTCACACTGTGGTCTCCTACCACCCTTCAGCAGCCAGGGTCACAGCACATTGCCTGGCACGTACAGGGAGACATTGGCATGCAAACCCTGGATCTTCCCATGGAGTTTCAGCATCACAGTGTTGCCTTGCTGCTGAGCTGCCGCAACTAGGCCCTTAATCACGTTTTCTCTATACTTTCTAGTCTAGAAAGCGGAAACACAGGTTATCTCCCTTCTATACATAGGGAAACAAAACTTGCTTGCTTTCTTCCAAACATGGGCTGTGTTTTTGTGTTGTTATGCTGTTTGGTACACATACTGTTTCCTTCATCTGGAACACCCTTACTACAAACCCACTTGTCAAAATCCTAATCTTCCTTCAGGGTTTATCTAAGAAGATTCTGCACACTCACTGGAAGCTTTTCTTCATTTTTCTAACCAGTTGCATCTTTCGCTTTTGAACTCCAGAGCATTTTTGCACTTTTTATTCTATTCATTTGGCAATCACTTATACTTAGGTATCCTCTGCATTGTATTGGGAGCCCTTTGAGGGCAAGAACTATGCCAGAAAAAAATAAAAAACCAGCGGTAATAATCACTAACATCTGTTACACAGTATTTTCTTACAGAGTCGGGGCTAAGTACTTTGCTCTCGGCACATGTCTGCTTTGCGTGAAATGCCTATTCTGTGGCAGGCATTAATCTAAAGGCTACTTTACATTATTTCACTTAGGCCCCGCAAAAAACTGAATGGGGTAGATGTTATCATTAACCCCATTTTACAGAGGAGGAAATAGGAACAGCCCAGTTGATTGAGTAGATTACCCAATGACACACATGTAGCCGGTGGAGAAACTGGAATTTGAACTTTACCATTCTGATTTTAGAACACATGCTGGTCATCACTGTCAAATAATCTTCTGTTATTTTTGCCATTCTTCCCACGCCATCTGTAGCTCCCAGCTGAGTCTTATGTATGGAAGGGCCCAGTAATTATAGGGTAAATTAAATTGACTGGAGAAGCTAAAATCCAGAGAGATTGACTTTCCTAAAGTCAGCTATTGGGATGAAAAAAATCTACGGTTGTGTGTTAAAACTCTCAGGCAGTTTTCTCTAGGCTGTCTTGTTTATTTAAGGCATTCATAGAAAGGGGACTAAATATGAGCAGAGAATAAGTATATGTGAGAAAGGGAAGAGGTCAAAGGGATCCTCAGACAATCCTTACAGCATAGGAAGTGATGGGAAATGGCTCAAACTGAAACAGAAAGCAAGTTGTATGATCTCGATTCTTGTCAGGATTTTGCTTTTCCGGACCCGCCTCGAACGGAATGTTCTCTTGGGTAAGAGCCCAGAAATTGCTAGCATTTCATTTTTTTAAAAAAATGAATTATTTTATTTAACTTTATTTTAATGTGACCAGAGGGACAGAGGGGAAGAGAGAGAGAGAAAGGGAAAGTGAGAGAGCAAGCCTCTCACTCGGGGTCCGGGGTTTGAACTGCATTCGCCCATGTGGGAGTCCAGCACCCTCAACCACCTGGAGGAGTCCGACCCAGTGAGGCCCCAGGATTTGTCTGAGCCCCCTGACTTTTGAGCTCTGCTTTTGGTCGGATTAACACGTTGGCAAGGCTACTGTTGTGCACTCCCCGGAAGTCCGCTTGTGTTCCCCCCCCCCCCCCCCCCACTTTGGAACAAAGCTTGGGTCAGTTAACATGTCAACAAGGCTGTTTACTATTTGCTCTAGAGAATTGAGGCAGTCTCACTGGGAAGCGACCCCCCTCTGGCTCCCCAATATATTACTATAAAAAAATTGCATAGTTCTCTTATACATTTTGAGTGTATGATAAAATTTTTTAAGAAGTCCCTCAACTTACAGCTCCCCTTTGCTTTAATTACTTACTATTAATTACAATGCTTTACTTTTGTTTTCATGATAGAGGGTGGGCTGAAGTTTTTTTTAGGCAAAAGTAATCTTGACCTTTAAAAGGCCTTAAAATTTTTTTTTTTTAATGTAAAATAAGATTAGGCCAAAACTGGCCCAAGACACTTTTGCCCTCTCTAAGTAAAATAAAGATATTAAGATTTTTTAAATTAAGTTATAAATTTCTACAAAACTGTATAAATATCATTTTTTATTAAAATCTATAAAAACTAATATCTATTCTTAAAATTTTTTTTTCTCAGCACCATTCCCAGTAATCACAAAATGACTTCTGCACTGCATCTGCTTACCGAAACTGCTTTCCCAAAACTTCATTCTATAGAGACCCACCTACAATTGAGGAACTGCACTAGACCCACCCTTAATCCACCCCTAAATAGGAATTGCACTAGACCCACCTTTAATCAAACACTAAATAAAATCTTTGTTTTTATTGTTAAAAATTTTATGAGCTGTTAATTAAAACACTAGCCCCTCTCCCTTTACTTGCATGTAACATGTTTTCAATAAAAGTGCACAATAATTCCTAGCAGTCGTCACTCCTTAGAGAGCGATCTCTGAGGGGTGTCTAGCATAGGACGTGCATGAAAGGCATTGAGGCCTCTGTCTTCTGTTCACCTTCGCCACCTTCGTCGAGATAACCCACCCACGCCGAGGCTGAACCCCGGCAACCACCACACCACCTGCTGGCCTCAATCTCTAGCATTTCAGATAACCCTTTTTGAGCCTTACTTTATTCTATATCTCATAACAGGGCCCCCACCATGGAACAGACAACAGAAGACCCCCCCACATCGGCTGTCTTGCTGGATCATTGTCATTTCTCTCAGGTCATCTTTAACAGTGTGGAGAAGTTCTATGTCCCTGGAGGGGATATCACATGCTATTACACCCTCACCCAGCATTTCATCCCCCGTCGAAAGGATTGGATTGGCATCTTTAGAGTAAGTGGCTAACTGCATATCAAGCGATCGGGAACTGGAAATGAATCTTTTGTTGCCTGAGTGTGACTGTGCGTGTGTTACAAACATTTCGTATGTTGTATCTGGTCAGTTTTTAAATCCTAAATTGCCTAAGTTCCTAATGCTTCCTTCTTTATGCATCAATGTGTGCTATGGGACTCAAATTTTAACTTCCATCTCAAGCAAAAATAAGATGACAAATCATGCAATCTTCCAGTTTCATTATGCTTTAAAGAGTAAATATAAATGCTTTTTAGATGACTCTATTTTGATATGTCCATGTATGACTTGACAGAATTGAGCGATCCCTTAGGTAATTTCTGTGACTTTAAACATTACTTCCTTACTTGGTGTATAGTGTTTAATTTTGATTTAATATAAATATCACAGATCTGAAAAGGGTGTTGAGAAGTTATCTGGTTTGATATCCTGTATCCAAAAAGTTTGTCCCCAAATAAGTGTCTCTTACTGCTTTGAAAGGATTTCCAAGGATAAGTTTACAAGCTCCCTCTGTAATCTCTTCCAGTGTCTAAACACTCTCTCAGTTCAAGTACAGACACAGTATTTTAAGATTTTAATCAACTTACTCTCCTCTTCCTCTTCTCCCTCCCATCCATTGTCTCTGTCTCTCTCACACATACATATACCCTATAATGACGGATCTTACTTCCAGTGACAGGAGATAAAGGTCACATTTAAAGTAATTTACACTGCTGAGTCCCAACATCAGTGACCTTTGGTTTGACACCTCAGTATGTCATGTGCCTGTTTGCCGATGCTGTTCATTTTGAACTTATACTTTACCCTTGACTGCACTGTGGAGGAACTCTTGCATATTTACATCCCTCGTTGAATTTCTTTTCCTTGTTTGGAATACCAAGCTTATTGATGGAGCAATGGAAGCTAGAGGTAACAAGACTGGGGATTGGAGGTGAGGATAATAGACAACCAACACGACACTGACAGGTGTCTGACAGCCCCTGAGACCGCAGGCCTTCTGACATCAGAGTGTTTTCTGTCTTAGAATGTGTTGGTGGTGGTGGTAGTGGTTTTTCTTCTTCCCCATAGATAGCACGGTTAAGCAGAAGTTTCTGTGATGGAGCTATACCTTTGCTGTCAAGTACATAGCCACTGGCTACATGTGGCTGTTAAATATTATGCAAGTGGCTAGTGTGACTGAGTAGCTGAATTTTACATTAAAAAAAAAAATGGGAGGAGGGGATAGGCATGACTCTGTAGAATAGTGGTTAAGCATTGTACTTGGAAAGCCAGATCCCACGTGATTTATCATGGTTCAAATCCTTGCCCTAGCAGCTTGAAAAACACTGTAGGGATGTGTGCATGCCTGCTCAAAATTCCGACGAGATGGAAAAATGGATGAAAAGAGATTAGAGCGTAATCATGCCCCATTGGAGGTATTTTTCCCCTCTCTCTCTGGTAATCATATATATCTCTGGCAATTAAAAAAGACAATAGAGGGGACAATAGGCGATGTGGTGGTTGATGAGCTGGATTCCCACATGGCCGACAAAGGTTCAAATCCCGGATCTAGCAACCTGCTTTCTCACTTTCTTTCCATGTCTCTCTCTGGTGACCTATAGCAAAAATAAATAAATAATTAAAATAAATGATTAAAAAATATTTTTAGTTAAATAAAAGAATTCTTAAAAAATTTTTTTAAATAGAAAAACATTTTAAGATAAAATAATTTTTTTCTATTTTAAAAAAATGTTTAAGAATTCTTTTTTTTTTTTTTTTGAGAGGTTTTTTGATAGGGCGCATGCACTCGCCACAAAGACAGAGAGAGAGACAGAGAGATAGAAAGTGAGAAATAACCCCCAGGGGGGATGGCCACATCGCAATCCCTTCTCCTCCATTCTCCTCTCGGGATCTTGGGCACACATGCACACGTGCCCAGCGTGAGTTTAAGCCACCGGGTCCGGGACACGAACCGCAGTCGACTACATGGGAGTCCAGCGACATAGCCATTATGCTAATGCTGGTCCCAAGAATTCTTTTATTTAACTTTATTTATTTATTTGAATTTGACCGGGCCAGTGGAAGGGCACGGGAGAGAAAGAAAGCAAGCTTCCAGGTTCAGGACTTGAACTGTAGTTGGTGATATGGGAGTCCAGGGCCCTTAACCACAATGCCACGTGCCAGCCCTGAAAAAAAAAATTAAGAGATATTTTTTCTACAGGGTGTGTGCACTTGCCAGAGACTCAGAGACAAACAGAAAGTGATCAATCATCCCCTAGGGGTTGACCACACCTCAATCCCCTTTTCTCCATTGTCCTCCTGGGATCTTAGGCGTGCACACACACATACCTAGCTTGAGTTCCCTTTTTTTTTGAGAGATTTTTGCTATAGGGTGTGTGCGCTTACCAGAAAGACAGAGAGGGACAAAGAGACAGAAAGTGATAAATGATCCCCCCCCCAGGGGGGATGGCCACACTGCAATCCCTTCTTCTCCATTCTCCTCTTGGGATCTTGGGCACACATACACACACACACACACACACCCTGGTGGTGTGAGTTTAAGCCACCAGTTCCAGGACTCGAACCACTGCATGGAAGTCCAGTGACATAGGCATTACACCATCTGCTGGTCCTGTGCCTAGCTTGAGTTTCAAGCCACTGAGTCCAGAACTCAGAGATCGGCCATGTGCAAGTCCAGTGATGTAACCATTATACCAACTGCTGGTTCCCTAGAAAAATTAAACAATTTTTTTTGGAGAGGTTTTTGCTATAAGGGCACGTGTGCTCACCAGAAAGAGAGAGACAGAAAGTGAAAAATCACCCTCCTGGGGGATGGCCACACCGCAATCCCCTCTCCTCCATTCTCTCAGGATCTTGGGCACGCATGCACATGTGCCCCGCCTGAGTTTAAGCCACTGGGTCCGTAACTTGAACTGCAGTCGACTATATGGAAATCCAGTGACGTAGCCATTATGGCATCTGCTGGTCTCTTAAAGAAAAAATTTTTAATGAGAAAAGGAAGAGACCAAGGGAAAGGAAGGGAGAGAAGTATTTTTGACAAGGTCTTGCAGTGTCCTGAACTTCCTGCCTTAGCCTCTCAGTTAACTAGGACTACAGGTGGATTTAATATAAATAGCTCCCTTTCTTCTTATTTTGTTCCCTCTCATTAAAAACATTTTTTAAAATATTCTCTCTTTTTTTTTTTTTGCACTGGAGGATTTGTACACTTATCAGAGATAGAACACCCACAAATGGAGCACAATCATACCCAACGCACTCAGATTAGCCCATGAAACAAACCTGGGCTTCCCATGCAGCTTCCAGCCTCCCAAGCAATAGTGCCATCTGTGCCCCACTGCTGCTGGACTTGGTTTTAATTCATTTAAATCTAAACAGCCTCATGTGGCTAGTGGCTATGATATTAGTGCAGATATAGATAATAAAAAAAGATGGCTCAAAAATTATTTGCTGGGCTTTGAAATGTAATTAACATTTTTTCTTAATTCAGTTGTACTTCTGTTTTGCTTAGAGTTATTGTATTTCCCAAGTACTTATTAGCAGCTGCCAGTGAGGACGTCACCATAAACCAATAAACATCTTGAGCTTAAAAAAAAAAGTTTTAAAACATTTTTAAAAATGCATTTACAGGTCCGGCAGTTGGCATGGTGATTGAGGGCACTAGGCCCTCACATGACCGACCATGGTTCAAATCCCAGACCTGGTGGCTTGTTTTCTCACTTTTCCTTTCTTTCTCTCTCACTCTTTTTCTCTCTGGACAAATTAAAATAAACAAATATAGTTAGATAAAATAATTCTTTAAAAAATGCATTTACACATAACTTGGAATGCTTCCTTAATTTCAGAAGTATTGCCATATACCTCTACTAAGGAATAATGGAGATGGGGCCAGCAAGTTGGCATGGTAGTTAAGGGTGCTGGGCTCCCACATGGCTGACCACGGTCAAGTCCTGGACCTGGTGTCTTGCTTTCTCTCTCTCTCTCTCTCTCTCACTCTGTCCTTTTCTAGTCAAATTAAAATAAATAAAGTTAAATAAAAGAATTCTTTACTTTTTATTGCCTAGAAGTCATCTTGTTCTGTATTTTAAGGTGCTAGACTTACACATGGCTGACCATGATTCAAGTCTCAGACCTGGCAGCTTACCTTCTCACTTTGCCCCCCTCTCTCTCTTTTTCTGGTCAAATTAAAAAATATCAATAATGGGGGCCAGCAGGTGGTGTGGTGGTTAAGGTGCTGGACTCACACATGGCCAACTTCAGTTCGAGTCCCAAACCTGGCAGCTTGATCTGTCACTTTCCCTTTCTCTCTCTGTGGTCAAATTAAAAAATAATAACAAATAAAATTAAATGAATAAATAATTCTTTAAAAATATATCAGTAATAATAAAATGAAATAATTATTTTAAAAGAATCTTTATCCGAAACAGAAGCACAATTAAGGTGCTTAAAATAAATAAATAAAGTTAAATAAAATGATTCTTTAAAAAAAAGAAAGAATGGTGAGACTAGCAGATGGCATAATAGTTACGGCACTGGATTCCCACATAGTTGATGACAGTGCAAGTCCCGGGCCTAGTGGTTAAAACTCACCAGGCGCATGTGCATGCATGCCCAAAATCCTGAGAGGAGAATGGAAGAGAAGGGATTACAACATAGCCATCCCCCCAGGGAATGATTTGTATCTCTCTGTCTCTCCAGCAAGTGCACACTCTATAGCAAAAATAGCTCTGAAAGAAAGATAGAAAGAAAAAAAGAAAGAAAGAAAAAAGAAAGAAAGGCTAATACAAAGAAGGGCCTCTGATATTCATTGTTTATAAGCTGTTGACTTGAACACCTACCCTGAGAACATACTGTATGCTAGGCCTTGGATGGGCTTTGTGTGTGTGTGCACGCATGTGCAAGTATTCTGATTTAATCCTCATAGCACAGCAGTCCTCTGAGATGGGTAGTATCAACTCTTGTGTACAGGTGAATAAAAGCAATTT